AAGCATGTTTCCTTATAATGCAATGGAAATCATTTTTAACTAAATAAGAGTTCAGGATATTTAGTCCCTGATGGCACAAATGTAAATTCCTAACCTCAATTAAACACATACACCATAGTGGATAATTCTTTACTGTTAAAACTATGTCCTAACACTTGTAAAATGTTAAAATCTATATAATTATGCAATTGTTAAAGCATTTATTCTTGCATTCATTAAGCATGTTTCCTTATAATGCAATGGAAATCATTTTAAAATAAATGCTTATGCATTTAGTCCATTTGCTATAGCAAGTTGACCTGTAATTTAAAATTCTATTTTAAAAATAACACTTTTTCTTAGAAATAAAATTCAATCTGCAACGTTTTGAGTGAAATTATTCATCTTAATCTTAATTTCATATACTGACTGAATTTCTGAGATGAGGTACGGTGTCTAGTTCCCCATTGTATTAGATCTAATATTTATACAATGCTGAAAATATGTATTAGAGGTAAAAATCATAGTTTTGCATTTTTCAAGGTTTTATGAAGGGTTTTACACTCACATGTGGTCTAATCACATCACAATTAAACAGAATCTTATTTTGAAAAGTTAGACATACTCTGTGCCTTAAACACCAAATGATGAAACATCGCTGTTCCTAAATAGCAACAAATTCACCAGTTGAGAAATGAGACCAATCGATTTTTTGTATGTCAGTTGTTTCAACATTTATTGTTTCAGTGGCTGTTTTTTCTCCAAGCAAAATATTTTACAAACCCCAAATAAATAGATAACAGTAACATTTAAAGTGAGAGTTAATGATGCCCACTTCCTAGTCCCAACCAACCCCAACCTACCTGACTTGTCTATACACCTGAAGCATCTTTTCTGCTCTGAGAACACAGTTTAAATACCGTTGCCCTAGAACCTCTTACACAGAATTCTAATAACAAAATTAAAGGCAGTTTCTGGGATGGGGACTTCACTACCTACCCTGTATTCCATCACCTTAAACCCCTGAGGTTTTAGAATCACACAATACAGAAAGCCACTCCACCGGTGTGGTTTAATTGTCCACCTGAGTTTGTGACCTATGATCTTGAAGTCAAGTTCTAATAACCTACGCATTTGTTTCATTACAGGTGACACAAAAATATAAATAATCATTTTTCACTTAAACTGAATAAGAGAACCATTGAGCTATGATACATTCATATGACACTGAGATTTCTCCAAGAACTTTTATACGAGAGCCTTCCTTTTTCACCCGGGCCCTACCTTGTATTCTT